TTTTCATTTTGCCTATCCTTATTACTGGAAGCTGAGAAAGGAGGATGGATACTGTTTTGTTTTGTTTGTTTGTTTGTTTGTTTGTGTGTTTGTTTTTCCCAGAATTCCTGCATCAGGTGGTAAGATTTGTTGGCTATCTGTAGGGGTAACCTTGGTTACCTATATATTCCCAAACCTTCTGGTAAGATGCTTATAAAATGTCCTTACCCAGTGGAATAATCTTAGTTAAATAGTCAAGAGGGTCTCTTTTATAGATGGTGAGAGACATTTTTTTCTTCCTGAATTAAGCAGCCATGGACCTTTTATCCATCAGAATATATTTCAATTTCCTATTTTTTATTCATTTTTACAGTCTCAGCTTCAGACCTCCCATTGCATTTTATATTTCTAGCACCCTTATATAACTACTCTTAAAATCATAAGCATTTCTTCTCCAAAAACAGTATGGTATCATGTTAATAAACTTTGTCTCTTTTCCCAGTGTTGCTTAGGTATCACGCTGCTATTCATTTATCTTGAAAGCTTGGTACAGATGAATTCAATTGCAAAAAGAAAAAAAAATAATTCCACAATTTCAACTTCTGTTCTTCATTGTCCATGACCCATTTCTTTTATCTAATCCCGTGATAATGTCAAATGACTACTTTGGTCATCTGCAATTTAATACTAATCCTACCTGTTTGATTCAAACAATGTTTTGACTACCTCATTAATATAACATCAACATCAGTTTGTGCTTAATTCTGAAATTCATTGTGAAAGCTCTCCATTTTACTATTTATTATAACTAACCAATTATTTTTTTATTAAAGTTTATTGGGGCGACAATTGTTAGTAAAGTTATGTAGGTTTCAGGTGTAGAATTCTGTAATACATCATCTACATAACTAACCAATTATTTCAATTTGTCTTAATCATTAGTCAAGAGAGTAGGATAGGGCCGTATCTATGTACTTCCTAAAACATTTCGCCCTATAGTTCTTCTTTAATGGATATATGTACCAGTGACCAAATGCTTCATTTTAATTTAAATAATAATGTAATATTAAACAAGCCAGGCAGTTTGTCACACTATGGATTTTTTTGAATAGGAATACTAAACACATCTTACTTATTTTACTCTTTGGTCCATTATCTGAGGACAGTGATCTTACAACAGCAAAATGAATGCTGTATGCAAATAGGACAAAAATTCCCATGCTATCATGTGCTAATATGATGCTTATTCTCACTCCCCCACACCCCACCCAGTCTCCCATCTGTGCCTGGTATGCTATCATCATGGAGCGCTATAGAGACCTGATAGTCTATTCAGCCCCCAGCACCACCTCTTTCTCTGCATTTAAAAAACAAATTGTATAAAATACTATAACAAACCACATACACTAACACTGAAATAATGCTGATTTAGGGCTCAAAATTATTTTAATTCAAAATAGATTTTTAATGGTAAAGCCCTTGTATGGTTTTCTCCAGTGCAAAGGGAAACATATCTTGATTTCCATTGAATAGAGAACATTCCAGTATCTCATTTATCATTTCAGAGTTCATTTCTTTTTATATTATATTTCACTTAGCATGCAGATTTCTATAGTTTTTTTATTATTTTGAAAACACTAGTTATAGTATACATTTTAAATATTACCACATGCTTGGTCAACACAGACCATTAAATATGATATAATAATGATATGAATATGTAATACTATAATAGGGATAGAATTCCTTTACCCTAAGTCTCTCTCATACATCTATTGAATAATTCTGGGAAATAACTGTCTCCAATTCATAAATTTTGGCCAATTTTACTGTTTTGTGCTTCAAAAGAAAAAGTCAGATTTAGAGAGTGAAAGTTTCGATGTTTATTTTATAAGTTTTGGTTTGTAAATTAACAAGTTTATCTTCTTAGTAAGTGATGACCCAAATGAGTCTACATTTTGAATGTTTTTGCTCTTTGACTAAAAGCCACCATCTTTACGATAGTTAATGACAGAGAGCAGTGAATTCCATGCTTTTCTTAGTTCTGATCCTGGCTAAATGTTACCTTCTTGGTTTTCTACATATCATCATCACATAGTCTGTCTTAAAACAGTATATTGTGGATTACAATTCGTGTTTGTGTGATTTATTTACCTCTTTTTATTGTGATACTCATACATTGTAGAATTTACCAAGCTATCCTGTTCATTGAAACTCTTTCTCAGAGACAATGATAGTCATAACAGACTTTTAGAAAGTACTCCCTTCAGAAGATTGAGATCAGTGGGTCTCAACCTTCCTAATGCGGCGACCCTTTAATACAGTTCCTCATGTTGTGGTGACCCCCAAGCAAAAAATTCTTTTTGTTGCTACTCTATAACTGTAGTTTTGCTACTGTTATGAATTGTAATGTAAATATCTGATATGCAGGATGTATTTTCATTGTTACAAATTGAACATAATTAAAGTATATGTAATTATTGTGTAATTATATATTGTGAAATATTTATTTCTAATTACAAATAAATGAAATTTTGTCTTGAAGCATAGAGATGGATAGAGGAGTAGTGTCTCGGTTCCTAAGATCATCGAAAATATGTGTTTTCCGATGGTCTTAGGCGACCCCTGTGAAAGGGTTCCTTGACCCCCAAAGGGGTCACGACCCACAGGTTGAGAACCGCTGATTTAGATAAAACAGTGAGGGAGAAGAAATGGTAAGCCTTCTGCTTAAAAATAATTTTTTCTCTAATAGCCTAGTGCTCAAGTTTATCATATCTTTAAAGTTGCCAAGACAAGCATCTTACCTTCTTATTATTGATAAAAGATATTCCCAAGGTCTCAATAAGATGAATGATTGAAATGTGTCAAGAATTATTTTTGATAGTTCTATGAACAACTAATTAAATATTCTTAATGTATGTTTCCAAATCAGACTATTTATTTCATTAGTTGACTAGTGTCTGTTAATCCTATCATAATCAACTTTAAATTAATATTAATGAATATTTACTATCAGATGTAATGCCAATAAATCCAGAAATTAATAAAAATTAAAGTGTTAAAGAAATATCAGCTATATAAGCATTCAATTTTGAATGATGATTATCTGGGCTAATTTAACCCAAATTGTTTGCTAGCCAAACTATAATTAAATCATTGCTTTAATTTTCAAAGCTTACAACTGACTCTGTCGTATTAAAAATGAGTAATTTAAAATTACTTTGTTATATTTTCCATTTGTTATATCATGAGTCTTTCTTGTGTAATTTTTAAAAAGGCTCTGAGAGCCAATTTTTAATTGCTATATCCTATATTCTTTTCTATACTGTAATTTATTTGGTAGTTACCTTTTTGTTGTATAACACAGTGATAACATACTGTAATTACTGGATTTTTACATTTTTATTTATTGGTACAAAGGGCATGAATGAATTTTTTTTTTTTTAAGATTTTTATTGGGGAATTGGGGGGATGGGAATAGTGCTGGGGGAATTGGGGGAAGGGGAACAGACTAGTTGCTGTCATTTTGTTCTTCAGTCTAGTTGTGGAGGACGTTGCTTCACTGGCCCAAGTTGGCACCATCATTGCGCTCTTCC